ACTGCATATTCTTTTTGGACATTTAAACCTTGTGCAAATGTTATTGCTAAATATCGCAAAGCCAAACAGAGCATTTACCCTACCTATTAGAGCCCAGCTGGTGGAGATGGGCTCAGGAAGACTAACAAATAGAGAAAAAAGAAAAAGAAATGGTGCTCCAACAAACACAATTTGTCCATGATGGCTTATTTTTGTGTTTCTTTTTCATATTACAGGCATCTATCATGCATTTCTGTCTTACTTTGAACTACTCTTGCACACACAGTCTGTGCCTGTGCTCTGCTGCCTTCCTGATCACATCATAGCCTACTTTGTCATTACTGTGTCCTGCATTATATTGATTTATTCTCCCCATAGGTGCCGTTAATGTTTCATTTGATCTAATCAGAAGAGGGTGACTGACTAACTGAACGGCTGGTTGACTGGCTGATGTCTGTCTGGCTGACTGATGGGGAAGAGCAGTGTTGCCAGGTAACATCACAGTGCTGCAGAAAATTCCATTAGCTGAGTGGATTACTGTGACACGAGTAAGGCAGGCTGTGAGCACTTAACTCTGACTAACTCTCACAGCCAGTCACTGCTCTGCCTGACTAACTGGCTCTTTACCCGGCTGACTGGTTGAGCGTCTGACTCAGTGAGTTAGTGAACAACTCACTGACTTCCTGACGGGCAGTTTACACTTTTTCTGACTCGTCCCACCTGTCTGCCTGTGCCCCTGCGTGGTTGACTTGCTGTGTTCATTTACATTCAGACATATGAAGTCAACCATGTGTTTGCCCGGCTCCCAAGACAAGACGCTGACGTGAGTCAGGGTGAAAACTTTGAAACAAACAAACGAAATAATTATGCCACGTCTGGTCACTCTGTTAATCAAAGACTTGATTACGAAAGTTGAGATCAAGCTGATATGTCAATTTTAAACACTTAAGAGTTGCTTTGATGACTGACTTTTTCCATTTGATCTAATCAGTGTGTGATTTAAAACTTTGATGGGATGAGTATGGAATGCCAATTAACCCGGAAACGTCAGGTGAAAGACCAAACAGGGCGTCAGTCGCCTTTAAAATGCAAATTTCAAAATTACAGGTGACTTTCTTCTTGAGTGTGAGTTATTACATTCAAAATATTTTCAGAAAACTTGACCTCTAACCTCTGACCTTGAGTTCAAGGTCACAGACATTCAAACTCATCCGATATTTTTATTAGCTCATCG